CATACAAGTATTTGTTTGAATATCTGTTTTCTTTTGGATACCTAGTAGTAGAATTGCTGGGTTATATGCCAATTCTGTAACTTTCTGAGGAACCCGAAAACTGTTTTCCCTAGCAGCTGCACCATTTTATACCCTTATCGGCAATGCATGAGGTTTCAAATTTTTCCACATTCTTACCAATACTTGTTTTTTCCCTTTTAAAAGAATTGTTTTGTAGTCATACTAGTGGGTATGAAGTGGCATCTCATTGTGGCTTTGATTTGCATTTCTCTAATAACTAATGATTTTGACCATCTTTTCATGCACTTATTGGGTATTCATAAATGTTCTTTGGAAAAATGTCCATTCAAGTCCCTTTGCCAAAGTTTTTAAATTGAATTGTCTTTTTGTTATCAGTTCTTTATATATTATGCATATTAGACTCCTATTAGATACATGATTTGCAAATATTTTGTCCCATTCTGTAGTTTGTCTTTTTATAGTGCTGACTATATCTTTTGATGAACAAAAGCTTTTAATCTTGATAAAGTTCAATTTATCTATTTTTTCTTTTGTTGCTCCTCTTGATGTTTAAGACTCCATTGTCAATTCTGAGATTATAAAGATTTATCCCTATGTTGAGAGTTTTATAGTTTAGCTCTTTTGTTTTTGATTATGAGTTAAATTTGTAGAACTTTATTATTTTGCATATGGATATCTGGTTGTCCCACTATCATTTGTTGGAAAGACATTTTCCATTGAATGGTCTCAGCAGTCTTTTCAAAAATCAATTTGCCATAGATATATGGGTTTACTTCAGGAGTCTCAATTCTATTCTGTTAGTCTATATGTCTGTACTTATGTCTGTAGCACACTGTTTTGATCACTGTAGGTTTACAGTAGGTTTTGATATTGGAAAGTGTGATTTTTCCAATTTTGTTTTTCTTTTTCAATACTGTTTTGACTAATTTGGGCCCCTTACAATTCCATATGAATTAGAAAGCCAGCTTTTCCACTTTTGCAAAGAAAGCCATTGGAATTTTAATAGGGATTGCACTGAATCTGTAGGATCACTCTGGGCAGTATTGCTATTTTAATGATTATCTTCCAACCCATGAATATGAGATGTCTTTCTATTTATTTAGAAATTCTTCTATTTCTTTCAGCAATGTTTTATAGTTTTCAGTGTATAAGCCTTTCTGCTTTGTGTAGAAAGGAATTTGGCCTTTGTCCCAGATTCCAGGAAGTGACTCTTAAAATTTCCCAAGTGATAGGAGTGTGTTTGTAATTCATGGTAGGCCCCTCAGACTACAGTTGACAGTTTATACTAAGGAGGTAAATTCACAGTGGGCCTCTTGTGAATTAATGTAATACAATGACTATGGTGGGGACTGGCAATGCCAGAAAGACTAATCATGTAATTAGAAGGTTGGGGCCTTGAGCCACTTGATAACATTCTAACCTTCAGAGAGGGGAGTGGGGCTAGAGAATGAGTTCAACCAAGTGGGCAATGATTCCATTAATCATGCCTACCCAGCAAAGCCTAAATAAAGTCTCTGGACACCAGAGCTCCAGTGAGCTTCCCTGGTTGGCAATACTCTTTGAGCATTGTCACACATCATAGCCTGGAGGAGGTATTGCTATCAGGAATCCATGGAGAACAGAGAATGACTAGAGGTTTTGCATTTTTCCCTACACTACTCTTTCCTTTGTCACTAGTGTAAAGGTCCTTGCTAACATGTGGAAAGGAATTTCAGGGCATGCATACAACCAAGTGACAGTGGCAAGTTTATTGAGTGAAAGCAGGCAGGCTTAGGAAAGGTTGTGTAAAAGTGAAAGTGCACTCTCAAGAAGGAGAGAGGGAAGTCTTTTTTTTTTTTTTTGGAGACAAGAGTCTCGCTTTGTTGCCCAGGCTAGAGTGAGTGCCATGGCGTCAGCCTAGCTCACAGCAACCTCAAATTCCTGGGCTCAAGCAATCCTGCTGCCTCAGCCTCTTGAGTAGCTGGGACTACAGGCATGTGCCACCATGTCCAGCTAATTTTTTCTATTTTTAGTAGAGACGGGGTCTTGCTCTTGCTCAGGCTGGTTTCGAACTCCTGACCTTGCGCCGACCTCGGCCTCCCAGAATGCTAGGATTACAGGCGTGAGCCACCGCACCTGGCTAAGAGGGAAGTCTTGAAAGGAGCAACTGACCCGAAACCCAAGTGGTTGCTGTTTTTATTCTTTAAAGTCAAAGAAGGTTGGGCAGTAAGTGTTCATTCTGTCCAACTTTGGTCTTTTGTTTAGGTCCCTTCCTTATTTGGTCAATGTTCCTGTCAGCCATCTTGGTTCTTACCTATAGTTCCCCTGTTTTCCCCTCAAGGGAGGTCAAAACCACAATGCTAATTTATCATAACCATGGTATAATGAGGTTTTGGGTCCTAATTTGACTTGGATGTGCATTCTAAAAGGATTTTTCTGTTGCCATTAGAAGATTAATCAAAATTAATCTCAATTGGCTTGTCTGTATAGTTGTGTAAGGGACTAACTGTGCTTGTTGTAGATAAATGAGAGACCAGGTTCCTCAGCTTCAAAGAGAAAGGCCATTACTCCTCCTAGCCAAAAGGCACCCCTGGGTGATCAGGGGCCTGAGTGGGAATGCCTGGGAAGATTTCCCATGGCATGATGTGGCCCTATAGGGAACCCCACAATAAAAATAATTAAAAGAAGGGTCATCCAGAAAATGCATATAAGAGCCGATCACTTGGTGTTTTGAGTCCTCTTGGAGGTGGTAGACTTCCCCAAAGAGAGAATCTGAGACATATAACAGGGTGGGAAAAACTCAGTGGTGAAACACTGTGGAGTTCCACACACAATCAGCACACTCTGATCCATTACACTAAACCCTGTAGTTTGGTTCCTTCTTCTAAAGAAAAATGGGAAATAAATCCCATAAAAAATGAGGAAAGGCAAGGAAAATGACCCCCTTCAGGCACCCCAGCTGGTTTTATGTTTGATAATTATGGCGCCTCTACTTGCAAGTATTTGTGTGAATGGAAAGATCTTACTAAGGATCATCTAGGTCTGAGGTTTCCAAAATGGGGAACTTTCAATATTCCCAACTTGGTTTTTCTGTGTACTAAACTAGAGAAATTAGGCTCCTGAAGCAAGGAAAATGAATGGAGGTCATACTATAGCTGGCACTTGGAATCATCCAAAAGAGGAAATGATAAACTTGCCTCCCTCCAGGAAGTTAATGAGAAAATATTTGAGACTGTTGGAATTAAAAAACTAGCAGAAGCTATTTCTGAAATCAGGAAGGCACCAAAAACTCTCTCCTTTTGCTTTTCCTAACCCTCTGCTCTTCCTAACTTTCTCTCTGAATTTCCTTGTGCAGACAATTTCATTTTTCCACCTCCTCCTTCCCCTATTCCCTCACCTCAAACCACAAAAGGATCAGAAATAGCTAGAGGAGGAGAAAAAATAGTAGTTGCTCCTTATAGAATAAAACCCACTGGGACAGGAGATTTAAACATATTGCATACACCCTGGACCAAATCAGAGTTAAGAGCCCTGGTATCTAGATTCCCCCACCCAACTCGAGACTCCCTTGGGTTTGCCAAAAAATTTCATTTAAAACCTATGATCCAGGGTTTTCCAACCTATGCCAGCTAACTGAATTACTGGTCCTCAAAAACAAAGCCAAAGAATGGTTTAGGGTAGCATATTGGAAGTAGCCTTTAGAAGATTTTGACAAAATAAATGCAAACGGGGGAGAGAAAAATGCAGGGAGCTTCGCAACCACCTCTTTGAGAACTACAACAGATACCCTCCAAAGTTCTAGACTAGGCAAAGGTATAACAACGTAAAACATGCCCAAATGAAACCATACCTGTTTTTTATATCAGGTTTGAAAACACATTCAAACAACATTTTAGGGATACCTCTTGAAAACTTTGAGCATGGTAAAAAGTGACACTTTACTAAATTCTGGATTTGTGCAAGGCTTAGATGATGAATTAGTGACCTTGATAAAGAGAAATAATGTGGCTGGGGCTTCTCTGCCTACTAGCAATCCAGTCACTTTAGCTGACAAATTGTCACAAATGATCACTAAGAAGCAAAACTACGCAACTTAGTAACCAAGTTGGAAGGTCACAAGGCTTCTGTTCCCGCCCCCCCCTCCACACACACACACACACACACACACACACACACGCAGATCACAAACCAAGGAGGAAGCAATTTGCTACTATTGTAAAAAGAAAGGACATCTTAAAAAGGATTGCAAGAAACTTAAATGAATGCTTGCACAAAGGGGGCTGAAGGCCCCAGAGAAAGGCACCAGAACTGTAAAATCAGAATAGGGATGCTCTGAGGGAATAGAGAGGGTTTGCCCTCTACTTCTAACAAATATCTTAGGGGAAATAGAAATATCCACAAATGGGGAAAATAGCAGAGCCCTTGTAGACACTGGTGCTATACTGTCAATCCTCAACCCTACCTTGATTAAAAACCCTCTCCCTCAGAGAAAAGCAGAAGTTCAAATGGTAGGAATTTTGAACTCCTCAATTACAGGTTTTAAATCTAATCCCCTCCAATTTCAATTAGGAGGACTTATATGGCAGCATGTTTCCTTTTTTTTTTTTTTAACCTACAATTGACCAAGGCACAAACCATTTTCCTTATAGTAGTGTCACCCTGTAGAGGATATTAGAAAAGGATATTAGTAAAGGGACTATGAGAAAGGTGGAAATCTGGAAGTCCTGCAAACAGGACTTGGATAAATGTTTATCAGCCAGCTGCATTCAGCAGGCTTTGGAATGCATAGGGAGTGTGACTGATTTTGGGCCCCTGCCCTTTTCTTTACAGCCTTATGGAATCACAAGGAATCCCGAGATAAATATGGATATGTTGCATATCACTAATAGATTTTTTTAGAATAATGTGCTCATTGGCACCAGAGATTTTCACGTATATGTTCTTTCCGAACATTCTCTCTGTATGTTCTTTGATTTGACCTTGAATGCCTTTCTCTGCAGAAATACAGAGGTTGGAGAGGTACAAGAGCTGTTTGAAACAAAAAGAGTCTCTCCTCCTCCTTCAGCCTGAGAGTGGTCTGGAGCATTCTTCATTGCGCCGTAACACTGGTAGAGACTCTGGATGATCTCTACAATTGGTAACCCCGACGTGATGCGGCCAACTCACGTGTGGAGAAGTTTCCATGGACTAACAGGGAATCCTGGTAAGAGATAGTTCTAACTCTATAAGAGGAAGGGGCCAACATGTGTAATACTAGAGGGGGATTTTATTATTTAATTGTGAATCATGGGTCAGGAACTCACTAAAGAGCAGAAATTATACTTTAAGACTCTACAACAATTATTAAAAGCAATTCAGTGTACAATGGAACCAAGGGCATTACAATGATTACTTTTGGTTTGTGAACATTGTCCTTGGTTTCCAGATGCCGGCACTCTCGATCTTGAGCTCTGGGAACAGGTAGGACGAGTTTTAAAGAAATGATTTGAACAGGGTCTTATGACTAATGTTACTGTACTAACAACCTGGAACTTAGTACCTAATGCTCTTTATCCATTATACATTACAGATCGTAAAGATCCAGATCGCTCCCTTTTAGCTAAAGTGGAGGGTGCACCTCATGAAGAAGCAGGGGAGCCTATTGATAAACTGGAGCCTTTTACTGTCTTTTGATTCTGATGAGTCAGATGAAAAGGAATTGCCATTTCCATAGCCATTAAAGAGCAGGATGAAACACAGCCACCTGTCCCTATGGCTTACCCTCCTCCTCCACCCTCCTGTGCCACTGTCAGGAGGTACTTATCGTGAACCACCTCCATGGAACCCACTCCCACCTAAAGTATTTTCAGAAACTAATTCCCAGGCACAACCCTCCTTGATGAGGACTGTCTAAAGGAAGGGTTAAAATTAGGAGACCCTGACACCTTTATGGCTGTATTCCCTGTTGTGGTAAGAAATAATAGGAGGCAATATGAAACTCTTCCCTTTACTGTGTTTAAGGAGCTAAAAAAGAGTATCCGTGATAATGGCTCTCAATCTCCATTTACCACTGGTATGGTTAAGGCATTGGGAAATAGTCATGAAATGACTCCTTTTGACTGGAAAACATTAGTTCGTGTCCTAGTTTCATCAGCAGAATATACAGTATTGCTTACGGAATATAATGACTTAGCTATTCAACAATCCTTACAAAATTTAGATAATGGAATACCAATTACTATCAAAATGTTACAAGGGAGTGGTGCCTATGCTACAGTTCAAGCTCAAGCTCAGGCTGATGCTAGACTATTTGTTCAGTGTTCAGTCTTAGCCATTCAAACATGGAAACGTATCCCTATTAGTCAAACACAGGGATCATTTGTGACTATAAGACAAGGTGCTACTGAACCTTATACAGATTTTATCAATAAACTGCAAACAGCTGTGGAAAGACAAGTGCCTAACCAGGACACCGCCAAGCTTTTCCTAATTAGCTTATAAAAATGCTAATAAGGACTGTCAAACAGCATTAGCTCCCATTCATACCTCCTCCTCAGATGTAGGAGCTTTTATTAAGGCCTGTCAACATGTGGGTACTACTACTCATTTAGCTCAAACCTTTGCCGGCATGATGCAAGGTAGTGCTTGCTATGATTGTGGAAAATCTGACCATTTAGCAAAATATTGTAAACAATCATGGAACAATAGTAAAAGGAATAATTTTGGGAAAGAAAAACAGCCTTTTAAAACCCGTCTGAAGTGTGGAAAGGGCAAACATTGAGCTAATCAGTGCTGATCTAAATTTGATAAGGATGGTAACCCCATACAGGGAAACTTGAAGGGGGGGTGCTCCCTGCAGCACCCCAAAAAATGTCTGGAGGGCATTGGCCAGTTAGGCTCCTCTAGCCCTGGTCAATGAAATACCATTGCAGACCTCTCTGCCATAATAACCAGTAGTGCAGGGTTGGACCTCTCAACAATAGAGGAGATAGTTCTTAAGGAAGAAGAAAAGGTGTACCTATTGTCACAGGAATTTTGGGGCCACTCCCAAAAGGATTTTTTGGGCTGTTATTAGGAAGATCTAGTTGGACTTTAAAAGGAATACAAGTTTTACCTGGAGTAATTGACTCCAATTATCATGGAGAAATCAAAATAATGGTAAAAGCTGTAGGCCTTCATATTTTACCAGCAGGAACATGAAGAGCCCAACTCCTTTTAATTCCCTACCTTCAGGGAAATGATCAAAATAAACAAAGAAACAATGAGAAATTTGGTCATTCCAGTTCTATTGCCTTTTGACCTGCTCCAGTAACTATGTAAAGGCCTCAATTAATAGTCACAATTAAAGGAAAACAGTTTCATGGAATTATAGATACAGGAGCAGATTTATCTATTATAGCTTCTCAACACTGGCCTATTGAATGGCCTATAATTAAAGCCCCTGTCATGGTTCAAGATGTCAGAGGTTTTCAAACACCCAATTTAAATGCCTTTCATCTTACATGTGAAGGGCCAGAAGATAAATAGGCCAATATTCAACCTTTTGTTATGGGTATTCCCTTCTCCTTATGGGGAAGAAATTTACTCAAACAATGGGGACTACAACTTTCTATTTCCCCATTTTAGGAGAGGCCACTGCTTTAATCCAGCCTTTACAACTATAGTGGAAAACAAATAAACTGATATGGATTGAGCAGTGGCCCATTAAAGCTGAAAAACTTTCACATCTCAAGGAACTCATTCAAGAACAGTTAAAAGAAAGCTGCCATAGCTTGGAAAGATACCAAATGAAATTAATTTTTATAAGAAAGGTTTCGGCCGGGCGCTGTGGCTCACGCCTGTAATCCTAGCTCTTGGGAGGCCGAGGCGGGCGGATTGCTCAAGGTCAGGAGTTCAAAACCAGCCTGAGCAAGAGCGAGACCCCGTCTCTACTATAAATAGAAAGAAATTAATTGGCCAACTGATATATATATATAAAATTAGCCGGGCATGGTGGCGCATGCCTGTAGTCCCAGCTACCCGGGAGGCTGAGGCAGAAGGATCACTCGAGCCCAGGAGTTTGAGGTTGCTGTGAGCTAGGACGCCACGGCACTCACTCTAGCCTGGGCAACAAAGCGAGACTCTGTCTCAAAAAAAAAAAAAAAAAAAAAGAAAGGTTTCCAATCCACTCAACAAGCTGAAATTGGAGCATTAATACTAGCATTAAATACCTTTCCTAACATCCCTATCAATATCATCAGTGATTCTCAGTATGCTGTACATGCTCTACAAAACCTTGGTTATTTCCTTCATTAAGGACATACCTAACAGAACTTTATTACAATTATTTATTAATTTACATGCTGTATTTTCTCAGTGATGTCATCCGATTTTTATTACACATACCTCCTTACCTGGGCCACTTACAGATGACAATAATTTTGTAGACAATATTGTATCTAGGGAGTCTTTCTAAACCCATTCTGGTTCACGGAGCTGCCCAAAAGAAACAAACAAACAAACAATATTGTATCTAACCAATTATGTCTCCTTGCCCAAGATACAACAGCCTTTCAGCAGGTACACTTAGATCATGACTTCTTTCATCAAAATGCTAAGATACTGAAAAAACTTTATCCCATTGCTGTAGCTCAAGCAAAACTTATTGTTAAAACTTGTCCTGGGCTGGGTGCAGTGGCTCACACCTGTAATCCTAGCACTCTGGGAGGCCGAGGGGGGCAGATCACTCAAGGTCAGGAGTTCGAAACCAGCCTGAGCAAGAGTGAGACCCCGTCTCTACTAAAAATAGAAAGAAATTAATTGGCAAACTAATATATAGAGAAAAAATTAGCTGGTCATGGTGGCACATACCTGTAGTCCCAGCTACTTGGGAGGCTAAGGCAGTAGGATGGCTTGAGCCCAGGAGTTTGAGGTTGCTGTGAGCTATGCTGACACCGTGGCGCTCTAGGCTAGGCAACAAACTGAGACTCTGTCTCAAAAAAAAAAAACCAAAAAAAACCTTGTCCTGATTGTCAACAATTCTCTTTGTTTCCTATAACAATGGGTCCTGGAACAAACTCACGAAGACCTTATTTTGGATGTCTCAAATACATACATGTTACTAATTGATATACATTCAGGCTTCATTCCTGCCATGCCCTTGTCAGGGGAAACTAGCCGACATGCTATCCAACATTTATTGGAAACACTCAGGTTTAGGATTAACCAAAATTATCAAAATGGACAATGGCCCTTGCTATTTATTGAAAAAATATAATTCTACCCTTCAAAATTTTAAAATTAAACGTATCACAGGTATACCCTACAATTCTTCCAGACAAGCTCTAGTAGAACATGCACACCATACCTTAAAAACTTATCTATTAAAACAAAAAAGGGGAGTATGGGACTATCACCTAGAGAACAAATAGCTAAAGCTTTATTTACTTTAAATTTTCTTAATATTGGAGATGAGGGCTATACTGCTATGGATCGTAGATTGAGAAAACATAATTCTAATCAATTAAATCAAAAGAAAGTGTTGGTTAAAGATGGATTAATAATTTATGGCAAGGACCTTTTCGTATATTGACATGGAACAGAGGTGCAGTTTGTGTCTCTCGAGAAACAGGTCCAGAGTGGGTCCCTACAAAAAGGGTGAAACTATACCATGAGCTGGAAAACACCAGACAACCCTATCCCACAGATGATGAATCTGATCCTGGAGTAACAAAGGACAACATTGACCAGGACGAGACAAGCTCCTGATGTGACCTGGGACAATTGAAGAGGCTTGATCAAAAGACGGTAACAATAATTAGAAAGGCGGGGGCTGCCCCGACAGCAGAAAATAGATATTTTTGGCATATTTGGCCATCATAGGCTAGGCTTCTGAACAGATAGGACGATGGTTGCTACTCCTTCTAGGATGGTTATTGCTGTCTTCAGCAGGTGCCATAGATTATTGGAGTCATTTATTAAACTCACCTTTATTTCATGTGCTTACATGGTGGGATGTTGGTCCTCCTTTGTCTTCTAATGACACAGGGTGGACTGGTGGTGTTTGGCTACCACTATCAGGACCATTAACGTCACATAACTGAATGGTTACATAATAATGATTCCATACTATTTACTGCCAGCGACCCTACTATTTGTTTTTCCACCTTACCAAATGTTGAGGGTTGTATACAAATTATTCCTCAAGAATATTTATATTATCAGCCTAAGAGTGGCAACAATACAGCTAATTTAGCCTTTTATCTCTGCTTTAACTGTAAATACAGCCATAAATATCTATGTTACAACTTTTACTCCTCACTTGCCCATTTGCAGACCAAAAAGAGATTGGAGATACAAATTTTATTCAGTACACTGGGTCCCATGTACAGGAGAATATCCCAGAGGATTAACTGTGTTTAATGATGGAACTTTATGGGATTGGGGTCCCCATGGGAAACTACATTCTTCAGGTAAAGAACTGGAATTTGGCAGTCCATCTAATTATTCCATTACTTGGAGTGAACATGGATTATCGGGTCCTATCTTCAACTCACGGACGGCATTCATATGAGTCCTATCCATCCTAAAATATGAAGAATGCTATTGCCATTTTTAAATCATGTATTATTCCATGGCAATTATACTAACTGCACTGGTACCTATATACTATCTTTAAACAATAATGTCAGTGATTCAGTAATGATATATACCACTCACCCTTATGTTTTCTTTTTGGAACAAAAACCTCCTAATATAACTCAACTTAATATTTATTATAATATTTCCTGTGAGAGTCCTTCTTGGTATAGTTCCTGTATCACTTTGCAAAATGTTACTAATCATATTTTTTTGTTTTTTGAGACAGACTCTCACTTTGTTGCCCAGGCTAGAGTGAATGCTGTGGCATCAGCCTGGCTCACAGCAACCTCAAACTCCTGGGCTCAAGCAATCCTCCTGCCTCAGCCTCCCAAGTAGCTGGGACTACAGGCATGCGCCACCATGCCCGGTTAATTTTTTCTATATATATATTAGCTGGCCAATTAATTTCTTTCTATTTATAGTAGAGACAGGGTCTTGCTCTTGCTCAGGCTGGTTTCAAACTCCTGACCTCGAGCAATCTGCCCACTTTGGCCTCCCAGAGTGCTAGGATTACAGGAGTGAGCCACCACACCAGGCTGCAAAATGTTACTAATCTTAATATCACTTATATATTTATAGTAAAAAGACAAGCACAAGCTTGAGTTCCTGTTAATTTTACAAGGACACGGCAAGGAGAATCTTCCTTACAGGTCTTACAATCTGCCTTAACAAAAATTAGACCCAAAGGCTTCCTGGCTACTCTTACTGCTTTCTCAGTTTCAGCTATTATTATCCTTGCTATTGCAATGGTGGCTGCTGTATCTCTTACTGAGTCAATACATACAGCAGCCATAGTGGAAGTAGTTCTAGTAAACATTACACATCAAACACAAGAAGAAACTGAAATTGATAAAGGCATACTGGCTAGACTATAAGCACTTGAAGTGGCTATAGTGGTTGGAGACCAACAATAAGCATTTATTACTTGTCAAGGCCTACAATGTGATTGGGAATATTGAACACAGTGCATTACACCCTTACCATATAACAAATCCACTTATCCTTGGAACATGGTAAAATCTAATCTTTACGGGGCCTTCAAATCTCATTTATGTCCTGGCCCGCGGGACCTTCTGTTACTCGCAGGGGGGCGAGGGGGACCGTGCCTGAAAGAGATGGGCGAGAGAAAGGAACGAGACCAAGCAAATGGTTGTCAAGGTCTACTTTACTTAGATTTTCTGCTGGTTTTATAATCATACAGAAACAAGGAAGTATGAACAGAAAAATAGAGTGGGGGGATGATGAGGCTCGAGTTTGGGCTAATCAGCCCCAATCAGTATCTTATCGAGGTTGTTTGTGTCTGGTTACCCAACCCCAACCTGGCAGGTGGTCGGGAACAATTGCAGTTAGCACACCCTGGAGAATTCCATGGTCAGCACGTCATGGGATGCATTCTTCTCATGCATTCTTCTCGGAGCTATAGCTGGAGGGTGGGGTGCTGTTTATGTCCTAGGAATTTTTCTAGGGCGAGGCCCGTGCGTAGGACAAGTCATTGGGGTGTTGAGGGTCTTAGTCTCTAACATATTTAAAATCTCAAGTACTACAATTGGAAAATCAACTACAAAGTCAAATACAACAACTCCATTCAAATTTACAAACAGTTACTTTACAAAAGCTACAAGATAGCTTTACTTAGTTAGGCCTCAAACAATGGTTTACAGGACTTAATATTAGAATTTAGGTCATGGCTGGAATTATCATATTCTTTTGTTTTCTGTTTCTAGCAATCTGCAAACAATTGATTTCTATGACTCAATGCACGGCTGTAAACAAGTAGAAGCTGGATGCTTTATGTGGCCTTCGATAGCTATCATCAAGAACAATCTGATCATATTAAGAAAAGGGGAGATGTAGAGGATGTTAGAAAAGGCATAAAGTCCTGACTATGAGAAAGGTGGAAATCTGGCAGTCCTGCAAACAGGACTTGGGATATGAATGCTTATCAGCCAGCTGCATTCAGCAGGCTTTGGAATGCATAGGGAGTGTGACTGATGTTGGGTCCCAGCCTTATGGAGTCACAAGGAATCCCAAGATAAATATGGATATGTTGCATATCACTAATAGATTTCTTTAGAATAATGTGCTCACTGGCACCAGAGATTTTTATGTATATGTTCTTTCTGAACATTCTCTCTGTATGTTCTTTGATTTGACCTTGAATGCCTTTCTCTGCAATAAATACAGAGGTTTGGAGAGGTACGAGAGCTCTGAAATGAAGACTCTTTCCTCCTCTTTCAGCATGAGAGTGTAGTCTGGAGCAGTCTTTGTTGTACCGCCATAAAACTGGTAGTAGAGATGCTGGATGATCTCTGCACCCCTCTATATCTGCTGGGATGGGATTTCCTAGAGACCCATAATGCCCACATCTTATTTTCACAGAAAGGAGAAATGATTTGCAACATGGGACACACAGAAGAATTATAAAAGCCAACATGTAATGTTATGCTTACTAAAGTTAATCAAGGATTTGAACAGGGGGAGTTAGAGCCTTTCTTATCTAAAATATCAGATTCTTTTCTCTTTTTTTTGAGACAGAGTCTCACTTTGTTGCCCAGGCTAGAGTGAGTGCTATGGCGTCAGCCTAGCTCACAGCAACCTCAAACTCCTGGGCTCAAGTGATCCTACTGCCTCAGCCTCCTGAGTAGCTGGGACTACAGGCATGTACCACCATGCCTGGCTAATTTTTTTGTATTTATATTTTTTAGTTGGTCAATTAATTTCTTTCTATTTTTAGTAGAGACGGGGTCCTGCTCTTGCTCAGGCTGGTTTCAAACTCTTGACCTTGAGCGATCTGCCTGCCTCGGCCTCCCAGAGTGCTAGGATTACAGGTGTGAGCCACCACGCCCGGCCCCAAAATATCAGATTCTTTATGGACAAGTTCGACCATGGATATTGGAAGAATTAAGTCAGCAGTTTCTATAGAGATAACCATAAATAAGTCTAAACCCCTGCCAAACATTAAGCAATACCCTCAAACAGTAAGCTTCCATATGAGTTTTCCTAAAGTAAGACCTGAAGCCTTACTAGGAATCAAACCATTTAGGACTACTTAAATAACAGACTCATAATACCCTGCACTAGCCCTTGCAATACATCAATCCTTCCAGTCAAAAAGCCAAATGAAAAAGGTTTGAGGTTTGTTAAGGACCTAAGAGCCATAAATAAAATATAATTTGTAGGTATCCTGTTGTCCTTAACACCCAGATCTTGCTGTCCAATATTCCTATCACTGCCAGTCACTTCTCTGTCATTGATTTATGCAATGCTTTCTTCAGCATACCAGTAAAGCAAAATAACCACTATCTTTTTGTTTTCACTTGGCTCACCAATGTACTGGACAGTTTTGCCCCAGGGTTATTCTGAGATTCCTACTTATTTTTCTCAAATACTAAAAGCAGATTTAGATGATATGATATTCCCAAATAGATTCACCCTAATTCATGTGGATGATTTGTTATTGTGTTCATTTTCCCTGACAGAATGCAGAGAAGACACTGTATATCTGTATATCTGCTGCAACAGCTTGCTTTGAAGGGACACAAAGTATCCAGAGATAAATTACAATTTTCTCTCCCTTAAATACTTAGGACACATGATTTCCCTCAGAGGACTACTAAAAAACCCTGAGAGAATCTCTTCCCTCATGACCTTTCCTTTGCCCCAAATGAAAAGACAATTAAGAGGGTTCTTAGGGTTAACAGGCTATTGCAGAAACTGTATTCCAAATTACTCATTAATGGCTCAGACCTTTATACCAAAACTAAAACAGACCCAACCAGACCTAATCCGCTGGGAAGAAAGGGAAAAACAACACATAGAAGATTTATAACAGGCTCTCACCCAGGTATCTGCTTTAGGCCATCCCAACTATACATGACCTAATTGGAAATGCTCTAGGAGTATTAACTCTTTATACATGACATAAATGGAAATGCTCTAGGAGTATTAACTCAAAAACATGGTGACAATCACAAGCCAATTGGTTATTTCAGCCAACAGATCCAGTAGCAAGAGGATATCCCCGCCCCACCCCCATATAAGGGCTATATCAGCTGTGGCCATTTTATGTAAGAATGTTAAAGAATTTGTCCTGGGGTCCCCACTAACCATTTATGCCCCCCGCCCCCCATTCTATGGAATCCCTCTTAAATTCTCACTACACTCAA